ACACGAGTTGCTCCACCAGCATTCTTGGATTTAGAGAGAAGCAAGTCTTTGATGTTGTTGTAGTTTCTCTAATGAATTTGATTTACATCGAGCCATCAAAATTTCAGATTATGTGCCTGACACTGAACCTTCTCTCTGCACCTCAGACATTAACGCCATGTATAAGTGTTTTGAGTCTTGTCGTGATGGTGGTGCTGTCTTCAGTATGTCAACCAAACCTCCAACCGCCATGTCTTGTGAATTTCACCCAAAACTCCAACATGCATCTACAATGGCAGCGGCTAAGAAAGCTCAACACATAAATAACCTAGGTTGCATGGAATCCAAAACAAAACGTTTTAAAACGTGGAAGCTTGATTTTTGATTTTTTTTATTTCTTAAGAACGTTTTAGAAGTCTATAAATATATAAACACATATATATACAATTTCTTTATATGTGAATTCAATTTTAATTATGTTTAGTATATCTAAGAATACAAATAAATCAATAGACGTTGTATATAATTATATGAAAAATAAAAATAGTCATCATTAAACATCAAAATCAAAGAAAATTTCAAAATAACAAAAATTACTTAAATATTAAATAGGTTGACGAAGGATAAAAATCATAACTGCAAGTCAAAGATCAATAACATTATCTTTAATCTTGTTTTACCGCTTCCAACTCATGATCTTAAAAAAATAGGTCCTCAATCTCTCTATTAATCTCATCTAGTGAAATAAATTGATCACCTCCAACATCTCACATATGATTAGGACCATAGTTATATGCTAGACTTCGACTAGATAGAAAACGAAGATTGTAAATACCAAATTTCCTGCTTATGCTCTTCCAATTAGTTTGTTTTTGAACTTATTAAAACAATAAATTGATCCTTATATTTATTAATTATTTATAAAAAAAAATTCTAAGATAAAAAAAAGTTTCTTAAGTGTTTTCAAAATATAATTGCGAGTTTCCATCAAGTTTCTAAAGTGAAAAATTTAAGAAATAAGTTTCGAATAAGTTTCCGCGAGTTTTCAAGAGATTTCTATTCTAAAACGTTTCCGAAACGTGAAACGGATCTTCAACTAAGTTTCCATGCAACATAGTAAATAATTAACTTCTCGATTAAAAATTTGCCTTAGACTACGTTGAACTCTCCTATACTATTACAAACTAGGATAAGACTCGCGCCTTGCGCGGGATGAAGTTATTATTTTTATTATGTTTTGGAAAATGAAACAAAAGTTCGGTTTCATCTAGATTAAGGATGTTCAATCTGGATATCGGGTTTCAGTATTTTGGTTATTAAAATAACTACTATTCTAAATCCATATTTACTTCAGTTTGATTTAGTTTATATATTGGTTTTCAGTTTATTCAATTTTATACCAAAATACATCATTATTTAGTTTGAAATCATATTATATATTATAAAAATAAATAATATGATCATATTTAGAGTCATATTGTCAAAAAGTCATTTACTAAAAAAAATATTATATATTTAACTAAAAGAATAAAAACAAAAAAAGGCTTATATGATCTAATAAAGTGATCAAATCTAGAATTAATATCAAATCTCTAAATTTTGAAAATAAAAATAAAAACAAAACAGAAGCATGAAAGAAAAGTTTTTATATTCTTCCATATTTAGTGTTCATCAAATTAATATGTCTTCGATTGAACAAGACTCTCTCCGTTTAAAAATTAAAAAAAATTGTAAAGAATTTCAACTAATTGTTGTCCATCAAATTTATAATTTTTACTTCAATTTAGTTTTTATTAAAAAAAAGAAAAAAAGATCAAAAAACACGAAGAAAATAAGAAGCCTCAGTTGCATTAAATTGTTAGTTAATTATATTTAAAGTGATTCAAGTGATTTACAAATCATAATTATAGTTCAACTCATGTAACAAATAGATATACATATTTACATGTTTCAGTTTAATCGATTATAAATCAAATCATATCCAAATCTTAGGATTTTTATAAAATCACATACATTCGGTTTGTATGGTATATACCAAAAATAACCATATTATCGATTGTGTTAATATCTTAAAAAAATAGAAAATTAAAAAAAAAAGAACTAATATATTTAAATCATTGATAACAAAAATTTTCAATGTGAAAAATTTAATACGTTTATAATTTATAAATGTTCTTGAAATTTCATTGAAATTTTTGAAATGAAAATAAGTATGTAATCTTATATGGTATATAGTTTAATATATATATATATATATATATTTATTTATTTATTTTATTATTGAATGATACTTTTTACTCATTCGGTTTTAAAATCATGTGTATCTTTTTATAAAAAAATGTTAAACTATTGATCATTAATTTTTAACATAATAATTTTAATAGTTTTAGTCATTTATTCTTGATTTTTTTAAATTTAAAATATAACATATACGAAAAAAATCTAAAGTTTAATTTTATAGCTAGTTTGATTGTTTGATTTATTTTAATAATATAAAATTAACGAAAAATGATGGAGGAGATACAAATTGTTATCAAATATTTATTATTAGAAACATTAATTGTCATATATATATATATATATATATATATATATATATATATTTGTCATTAATGGTAATTCCGTAGCTTTTATTTAAGGAAAGAAAATAAAATAGTAATTATATCTAGGAGGACAATCATAAATGCTTCTATCATAAATATCATATCATATAGTTTGACCAACAAATATATCTAGCAACATATAAAAATTGAATGTGGACCTAATTTTTTTTTCAATTGAATGTAATTGACTATCTAATTGGGTGACCCATAAGCATGAACTCTTTTTTAATTATTACAAAATTGAGATTACAATTTTTTAAATGTTTCTCAATAGGGGATTTACCATATTCAAGGCCGATTAGTAGGAAGCCCACGCTTGGCCCAGAAAGGGTTTTAGTATTTAAAGGTTAACCCTAAAATTATATATAACCTCTACTTCCCTGACGAAAGAAGGAAAAAAAGAAAGTATTTGTCGATTTGAAGGTTAAACCCTAACTACTGAAACAATGGAGATGTCAGATCTTCCGAAGGAGTTGGTGGAGGATATTCTCTCAAAGATTCCGGTTACATGTCTGAGAGCAGTTCGATTAACTTGCAAAAAGTGGAATGCTTTATCCAAAACTCGGAGTTTTGTAGAGAAACGCATTGGTGAAGAAACATCAAAAGAATCTAGTGTAATCATGACGTGAATCATAAAGTGTATTTGCTCGGAGTCAATTTCAGTGGAATTGGCAACAAGTTTGATACATCTTTAAAGCACAAAGGTACACTTATAATGCGTAACAACAACATGGCTTCAGAGCCACTCGTTAGGGGTGGGCACAATTACTTGTTACTCGGCTTGTACTAGCTACTTGATTCGTACTTGGCTCTTAAAATCGAGTACTCGTTTTGTCCAAGTCGAATATCAAGTCGTTTGTTTCAATTACTTGTAAGTACAAGACAAGTACCAAGTACTAAAATAAAAATAACTACTTGGCGTTGTTGGCTTGTTACTCGTGATTTATTACTTGATTTATTACCCGTTTTTTATTTTTAGACAAACAAATCTCTAAATTATAATCAAATTACTTGTTTATAAAACAAATAAATTAAAAGTGATATATTATAGAAATATTTTAAAGTTTTTTTTTAATTTTATATTTATCATATATCCATTTAAAAATATATGAAAAGTAAATAGATATTCTTTATTAAAAATTGTTTAGATTATAATTATAACTAACTAAATTTTTTTAAATTCATATACAAGATTTAAGTAGCAAACGTTAACAAACTTTTATTAAATAATTATATAATCATTTATAAATTAGTTGAGATGCAACAAGTAGTAAAACGGAGCAAGTACTTGCAAGTATACCATTTTTAGCAAGTACTTGAAAGTGCAAGTAATCGTTTTTAATAAACCAAGTACAAGTCCAAAATTTTATTACTCGAACAAGCCAAGCCAAGTACCAAGTAAGCCAAAAATGGCAAGTACTTGGCTTGTGCCCACCCCTACCCCTCGTTATAAGTCAAGTTTTTCACGGTGATGGTTTGTTGCTATTCGTCATGATGAAAATCTATGAGAAAGGTCTCGTGAGGCTCGTGGTTTGGAACCCATACTGGGGTCAGCTGAAGTGGATCCAAGCAAAAGATTCTAATCATCAAGACACTTTTGCTATGGGCAAATCTCATAGCCACAAAATCTTGAGGGTCTTTAACGTTTATAATAGTATCCCCTACGAAATCTATGATTTTAAATCTGATTCATGGAAGGTTCTTCCTATCACTCCACTACAGAAGGATGTCCAGCTTTTCTATGATGCCTTATCTCTCAAGGGGAATGCTTACTGGCTTTTTAGAGAAAAACCAGAAACAGGGAACAAGACGTTCTTAATATGTTTTGATTTTACAGAAGAGAGATTAGGACCCCGTCTCAGTTTACCGTTTTACTCTTTTTCTGAGTTTGACTCACATTATGAAGATATTGTGATTCTATCTAGTGTTCGAGAAGAACAGATTGCTGTTTTGTTTAAGGAATGGGGTAAATTTGAGATGAAGATATGGGTTACAAGTAAGATTAAGCCAACAACGGTATCTTGGAGCAAGTTTTTA